AAGCAGACTAAAGACACAACCTACCTCCTTGAGATCTTGGTTCGAAGGAAAGAGTTGGCATCCAAAGAATTTAAAATGGCTAAGAAAGCCACTAGGAGGATATTCTGAGCTTTTGATTGGTTATTTATGTCATATATAAAAGTAAGTGTATATAAGGGAATGTGTCCAAAAATGGAAAGATGTGGGCAGGGTGCCACTGTGTTTGATTTATTACATGAGCAATATCTTATTTTATATTCTAGCTTGTCAATATTGGTAATTTGAGTTTCTAATTCGTTCGAAATTATAGACTTAGTATTTTGACTTCACAAACATCTAATTTGAACCAGTGCTACATTCAATATACCACGTGACACAGAAAAATTAATGTTTATCTGTTTTTTTTATATTTGCTTTTCAATTAAGAAATTGAATAATATATAGTACTAAAATCTGAATTATAATCTACAGTTTGATACCAAACTTACTGACATAAATTCATGAAACAGTAGTTCAATAAAATTTTGAAAGCGGGTCAGCAAACGAGATGACATGGCCTTTCACCCGTGACCCGTCTCTAAAGGGTTAAGGCCTGTGATAAATATATTTATACATTTCTGACTTTCTGTATTTAATATGAAGTAAACATTTAAGAAATGTAACAGTTGAGTCTACAAAATACAGTTGAAAATTCTAAGGATTTAACCCCCAGCCATCCTCCAATAGCATGTAAACATGTCTGAATTTCTACAGTTCTGACTATTTCTTCATTTAAAGTTGATGTTCTATTTAACATGTTTACCACATCCTACTCCCTTTCAGACCCCATTTAGTAACCTTATCTTCTTTCCAATCTGAACATATCTTTACAATCTAAGTGTATGAATATTTTGTTTCAGAAAGGGCTGTTACATACTCTTCTCAAAAGCAATCAATTTTTGGGGGCATCATAATACCTATGAAACTTCAAACAATATCAAAATGTATTTCTGACGCATACTGTTCCAACATGACTTTATATCAGCCATAACTGATTTGCAGATTCAAAATCATTCTAGTATAACATACTCAACCCTCTGCAAAAGGAAAAATGTTTTTCTAATGCTTTACTTTTACTCCTTAAAATAGGAAAGAAGGTCTAAATAAAAATATTTATAATGTGTCTGGGTATACTGGACAATAATACATGCCCTCCAAGTTTCAAGACAATTGACCCAGAAATAAAGGAGTGGGGCACAATTATATCTGTTGAAAAGCAGGAGAAAGAAACATAGGAAATACAATATGTATCCCTTCCTATGGGGAAAACATAATAATTTATACTGCTACTCAATTAAAATTAGCAAACACACCCAACTCTATTTACAATACATTATTTTATGGTAAACTAATCTAAATATCTTTTCCTAGTCAATTTTTTCATATTAATAACTAATAGTGTTATTAATTGCAGATAACTTTTCAAAGATTTTAACCTACTTTTATGAGATCTGGTCATTCTATCAGCTTTCCAAGTTGCATCTTTTACTTGTGTAAAATACTCCACTAGAAAATTCTTCTCGTGCTCAAAAAACTCATCCACATCCTAGAATCAGAAAAAAATAATAAACTGATTCTTTACTTATATAAACTTATCAACAAACCTTTCAACCAGCACAATGGATCTGTTAATGTTAATAAGCTAATCATACTTATGAACATGATGTTTATGCATTTGTGTATAAAAATGGATGTTCAATAATGTCTACATTTTATAATTCTATAAAAAATGAAGCTTAAAAGCATTTTGAACATACCATAACCATAGAACAAATGCCCTTGGCTAAACAATATGAATGTACAGATATGTTTAGAGAGAAGTAAGTCAGTGATAACTACAACATCAGTATTTAATATACCTTTCCAAGAAATTAAATCAGTTAATCAGAAATACTTTTTATCAGCTATGTAAGGTACATGGTCTCTCAAAATGTCAAGACAGAAAGATGAGAAACCAAGATACTGAAGTATGAATAAAAAAGGCAAGGCAGGTTCTGAAGCCTGAAATGTTTGGCACTGTCAGAGGCTACTGTTTAACTTCAGATATGAAATGAGCATAGCAAAATATTTGTACACTGCAGGAATATATATTTATAAACCAATGGCATTTAGGAAATTATAAAAGAAAACCACACAATATTACATTTGTTCATCAGTAATGTCAACTAATTCAATAAGTACTGTGTTGTATTGATACCAAATCACAAGAATACTTTCTTTTTACCTTTTTGGTTACTGAAGCACCAAGGGATTTTAATAATATAGGATTTTTTTCCCACATTTAATGTCATGAATTCATTTTTAAGGTAGAAAATCTAGTTATCATGTTTTATTAGTAGTGACTGAGTGATTTTTTTGTTTTAGCACAAAGTTATAGGAGAGAGAAGATGTTATAAAGCGAAGCTCTTGGACATTTTTTAACATTTCTAAATATTATCATTTGTAGTAACATGGATCAAATAACAAAATAATAACTAGATTTAAGAAGATTTGTGAATAAAAATAGTAGGGTTAAAGTTTTAAGTTTGAGCTTGGTGGTGTAACTTGTACTACAACATTAGATTAGGCTTAGAATGTATAACAGTACTTTAGGCTCAGCTATAATTCAAGTTATTGGTAAATCATAAAACATGTTAAAAACATTGATTTATTAACCAAAATATTAGGTTGTCAAGAAATCAATGTTACGTTTTGGAACACTTTCATCAACCATCCCCCAAAAAACGTACATCATGTATAATAGTTAAACAAACTGCCTAAATGTCATGTTAGTGCAGCTTATATAATGTGTAAAGTTTAATAATTTAAATAGTAAATAAAGTTTACTCTAATCCCTCATATTGATGGGACACTCATTTGGCATGTAATGCTGTTTGAATACAAGAGGAGGAAACAATGCCTCTGTAGCCACAAAGAATATCAAAGAAGTTTATGGAAATGTTTTGAATGTCCGTAAGTGTCAACGATAGTTCAGCAAATTTCATTCAGGTGACTTTAGCCTTAAAAACTGTGATGGCAGGGGCCGACATGTTGGAATTGATATTGATGCTCTGAAGACGCTTGTTGAGCCTAACCCAAAGCAATGCACTTGTGAAATGGCCCTGAAATTGCATGTCTCTCATGAAACAATATGTAAACATCTAAGAAATATGGGAAAATTCCATAAAGAAGGTGTTTGGGTGCCTCACAAACTCTCCAATGATCACAGTTTCCAACATGTGAATGTTGCTTCATCTCTTCTGGCATGTGAACCATTTTTGGACAGAATTTGTCACCGGTAATGAAAAATGGATTCTCTATGTGAATATTAAATGCCAAAAACAATGGCTCAGTCCTAAACAAAAACAACTTCCAAACCCAAAACCTGGACTCCACCCACAGAAAGTGATGCTTTGCATTTGGTGGAACATCAAAGAAGTAATTCATTTCAAACTCCTCAATTCACAGCAAACTGTCAATGCAGAGATCTATAGTCAGCAACTGGAACGTTTATATCAAGCCCTTCATCAGAAACGCCCTTCACTCGTCACTCGGAAAGGTGTTCTTCTTCTCCACGACAATGCACATCCACATATGGCACGTTTGACACAACACAAGATTATAGAGTTGGGTTGGAAAGTTCTCCCCCACCAAACATTTTCTCCAGATATAGGACCATCAGATGACCATCTTTTTCGTTTACTGCAACATCATCTTAATGGGAAAATGTATGCAAATGTGGTAGGTGTTAAAGAGGACATTGACATGTTTTTGCTTCAAAGCTAAGTGATTTCTTTAATCAGGGTATTAAAAATCTGATTTTAAGATGGAAAAGCATCATCAATAAGAATGGATACTATTTCATTTAATAAATGTT